GTACAATCCGCACAAGACACATTTCTTCACTTAATACAACTCCTCACTGTTTTTTCGTCGCCCTAAAACTTTCTTATAGATTTCTAATTTAATATAACTTGCAGCATGTGAGATTTTAATTGTATATATAAAAAGTGTTGCCCCAATTAATTGGCCAATTTTATTTTTTCGAATTGTATTGCCCCATTTTTTTTACGCATTAGTAATACGTTTGTACATTTTCTTTATATATATATATATATTGGTAATACCGGATTGGACAAATAAATTTGCATGGAAGGAAAAAAATGGAACAAAAAATAGAATTGATTATTCCTAAAGCGTTTAAATAGAAGTTAATAACACTTAAAATTTTATTGCATCACTAAATTTTACTCCACTAAAAGTTCAACTACATAAGAATGACTGAATAAGTACTTAATTTGTTCAGAATTAAATGTTGAAATAAGAATGATTGAGATTAGTAATTAGTTGTTAGAAGGGAGGAAGATAGTGCAAGACTCGAACATACGCCCTCAAACACGAAGAGCAACTCAATCAAATTTTCTTTAATTAACAAATAACTCAGTTGTAAATTTATGTCATTTTATTTGTTAATAAATATTTTTAATGTTTTAATTTTGTTAAGGGTAAGAGCGTAATTTTCTTTTCTCAATACTTAGAAAAGTTTTGTGGAAATCACATTAACATGTCTTTCACTTTGTAAATATCTTTTTGCATTTGTATATATTCAAGCTGCTATTAATTCATATTTGTAAAATTATTTTCATATTATGTTATCTATTTTTTTATTTCTTAAATCAGAATGTAATGATATTCGCATGACAAACTTGTTATTTAGTTTCTCGACTGTTTCATACTCGGTATTATTTAATTTCCAACCATCCATCAAGAGGTGATACCTATATAAGAATATGTGGCTATAATAATTATTAATGAAATCGTGAAATGTTATCCCAATTATATAACATGCAATGTTGCTGTTAATCATATTTTTCAATAAAATACTCTATAGAAACATTTATAACATTATAGTTACACTGTATTTTTCAATCCGTCAATAATCTTTTTAAGTAAAGAATTAATAAGATTAGACTTATTAACCATTCTCTAAACTAAATTCCAAAAAAAAAAAACCATTCTATAAACTACCTAAAGTTGATAAAATATGAATTTAAAGGATGTAATTATTATATTTGTAGTTTGATTAATCAAAAATCTCTTGTACTTATGAATCTTATCTATTTTCTTCAATTAAATAGAACTGATAGTTCTACAAATATCAATATTCAAGATGGTACTGAGTCCTAGAAAGATAAAATCCATCTTCACAACTTGAAAAGAGAAGAGATAGATCCCATGATATTAGACTATATTCTTAAAACGATGGCTTCACAAGCTATGTCTGCACACAAATAGATTCAAAATGGACAACTAAATCTATACTGCACCAGAATGTTAAAAGGTATGCTACAAGTTTTTAGAACACAACAAATCAAAAATGGAAATAAAAAATTCTATAACCCTCCCAAGAAAAAGAAAACAATATATATATATACACACACGCAAATACTATATATATTTGTTGGTATGTGAGCACAAATCTATGTTCTGTGCCATGGTACAGGTGACTTGGAATTGGAAAATGAAATCTTGCTTCAGAAATAGAAGAGCTCAGTTTAGTAAAAAGACCTATATCACATGCAATAAACATGCCTGCCATTACACTTCACAACCACAACCACAACCACAACCATGCATTTTTTCCAATTACTTGGTTGGGTTAATGAATTTATTCCAATTCCTGATCTGAGATTTCAATTTATCCCTATCTCATACAATCCGCACCCTTCACACCTTTTCTTCACCAACTTTGTATTTTCTTCACCAACTTTGTATTGGAGTTCTAATTTTATTAAACATGCATAGCAGCTGAGATTTTACTAATATATTAAAAGTGCTGCTCCATTTAATTAGTTTTTTTCTTTTTCTTTTTTATTTTCCAAATTGTGGTCCCATTTTTGGTATGCATTAGTATTACTTTTCTAACTTTTCTGTCCACAAACACATATATATTGTTTAGTAATATCGGATTTGCCAAATAACTCTGTCTCTGCCTCTTTGGAAGAAAAACAAAAGAATGAAAAATCGAGAATGAAGTAGTGCTAAAAATAAAAATTAAGCATTGAAAATTTCAAGAGTTGAACTATTAAATACAAATTGAGATAGTATATATATGTGTGTGTGTGCATATATATATATATATATATAAATTGAGTTTTAAGTGTACGGCATTAAGTGATAAGTGAAGTCACTATCATTTAAAATTTAAGTAGCACTTATCTAGGCTTACCTACCTATTCAACTTATATTGAAATTATGTTCTAAAATGCACGGATAAACTGAATTAAGTGCTAACTTAGTCATCAAACAACACTCAACTCTACTTTATGTAAATTTATGTTCTCTTATTTGTTAATAAATATTTGTATTGTTCTTTTTACTTTGTTGAGTAACAGATAAAAATAATAATAATAATAAAAAGTGTCTGAATACTCGGAAAAGCTTGAGGAAAAAACATCACATCACATTAACATGTCTTTCACTTTTAATATATATATTTTTAACTAGGAATCTTATTTAGTTTTCTTTAATTAAATAGCACTACTTGAAAGGTTACTTCAGATTTTAGCCTTCAGACATTTTTTACAGCTAGTAAACATTGAGACCTGTTAATAGTTCCACAAATATCACCATTCATGATCCTAATGACTTAATGAGTCCTAATACCCATCCTCATGCAGGTTTTAAAAAAAAAAAAAGCCTTCTCATAAATAATACCAACAAAATCACAGTTTCTCCATTCCTTTTCAATTCCAGGTAGCAGAAAAATACTTAGATCCCATGATATTAGACAGTATTCTTAAAATGATTAAGCTACACAAACTATGTCTTATTGACACAGATATATTCAAAATAGACAACTAAGTCTATCCTGCACCAGAATGTTAAAAGGTATGCTACAAGTATATAGAGCACAAAATATCAAAATTTGGTAACCAACCCTCCCCCTGTGCACACACTCAAGAAAATGGAGATAACAAATTCTAAAACCCTCCCAAGAATATATATATATATATATATATATATATATATAATCTTTAATTAGAATCCAATAAATAAGTTTACTATTCATGAATTAAGTATGAAATCCTTTTTCTACCAATTAAAAGGGAAGTCTCTTAAAACTACTATCTTCAAGCTCTCCCTCTGTTCCTGTGTAGAAAATTCTCAAATGAAAGGATATGTTTGGCTACATGAAATTGTAGTTTTGTAATTGGAATTGGAGAAAATTTTAGTTCAATTTTCTATAACTTTGAACCAAACTTCTCTCCAATTCCACCAATTCTAGTTCCAAGGCTCCAATTCCGTGCAGCCGAACATAGCAGATATTAACTCGGCTATATCCAAAATCTCCTTTGCAATCACATTCAGTTTGCTTTCAGGTTTACTCGCACAAATAGGAATTTTTAGATCTCTTGGAGTATACCTTATTATACTTTCAGTTGGAGTATACCTTATTCTACTTCAGGAAGAATTGAGCTTCTTTTCTGCTGATGTTTTTACGAGCTGGTGAATTGTTATTGGGTTTGGGTTGGTCTTTGGACTGTGCTGTTTTGGTTCCATTAGTTCTGTTTGAAATGTTTGACTGCTTATTGTTTTGAAGATTGCTTTGCTGGGTTTGGGTTGTAATTTTTATTTTTTATGTATCTTCTGAACAGCTTCTTGTTGGTGTTCCTTGTTTGGTTGGCTAGAATTCTAGCCTTGTTTTTTAATTGCTTTTTTTCTTTAATAAATTTTAATCACCAAAAAAAAAAAAAAAAAAAAACCTATGAAAAGACCAAGACAACACAGCACAAATGAAAACCTTTAACCTTCTTCTTTTTACCCTAAAATATAATTCTTAAATGCACTAACAAGTTTTCCAATAATCTTGCTTCAGAAATAGAACAGGTAGAGCTCAGACTGAGTTTGGTAAAAAGGCAGTAAGACACTATATCAGATACAATAAATTCATTAACCCTCACATTCAAAGAACAGAGTACATGGAAATCCAAGAAATGGAAGTCACGAGATAGGGGCGCGCCAACGGGCAGACAGTGGAAAAACAGCTTCACGACCTTTGACTTTAGAGCAGAAGTTGCTACTTAGCTGTGTGTATGTAACTGCTAGTGGTTTGGTTAGAGGGGGATTGAGTTTGAAGGAAGGGGCCATTAGCATACAAGCATCTAATGGCATTACACTTGCACGACAACAACAACAAAGCCTATTTTCCAATTACTTACATACCCTATGTTTCCATTCCGCTACATTTAAGGTCATAGCTAATGCCATTACAATTGCCAGACCAATATATAGACAATTTTTGGTTTCTTTTCTAGTAAGTTGCAGAATATTTACCAAAATCATTTCAATGGCAGTAGTGGGCGACAAAAAGACTATTGGAAGCAAATCCCTAATTCATTGAACTAGTCACGAGCAATAATTTAGCTAAATAAGCCAAACCTGTAATGTAATTCAAACAAGAACCCATCTTTGACCTTCCAATAATTACCTATCTAATTCAATTCCCCACATTCCCCAAACAAGAATAAAGAATAGATTTCTGATCTGAGATTCCTTACTTTCCCATTATTGTCAATTCAATGGTAGGCAAATCAATTAAAATAGTATTAATTTCACCAAAGTAAGTGCCACCCACTTGGATTAATCACAATCAAACAACAACCCACATTTTAAAAAATTCCAACACAAACCCTTTCCATCACAGAATTAATCTAATAAGAAGAAACAGCAAAAGGTTTGTTCTAATGTTGCTTGGTTGTACAACAATCAGCTAAATAAGCCAAAACTGTAACTAAATTCAAACAAGAATCCATCTTTGAAATTCCAAAAATTGCCCATCTAATTCAGTTCCCCAAACAAGAAGAAACAATAGATTTCTGATCTGAAATTACTTATTTTCCCACTATGCATTGCTCAATTATAAACCATTGAAGTCAATGAACAAAGTCAAGCAAAATAATTAAAATACCGACAATTTCACCAAAGTAAGTGACACCCATGTGGATTAATCACTAAGCATTTCAAAAGTTCCAAAGCAAATGCTTTCCATCACAGAAAATTAAACTAATACGAAGAAACACCAAAAGGGTATGTTCTAAGCTTGCTTACTTGTCGATTGTCGCAATCGAATCCGCACCCACATTGAGGGCTCTCCAAAAAGTTGTCAATCGAGAACCCGGCCGACGCGATCCCGACGGAGAATTCGAGGTCGTCGCCGCTCCGATCCACCTCGACGATGTCAACCCACAAGAACAGCAACTTCACTTTGACACCCTCCAACCTCGAGAGCTTTCCTCTCGATATATAGCCTTTGACTGTGGATTTGTAGCTCAATTGGTACGAACCCTCGAGAGAAAAGCTACAGCTTTTGTTCATATATAAAGCGAACTTGCCTGTGGATTCGTCTAAATCGTAGCCGGTGACACCCTTGGGTAATATACCAACCGGGAAGTTGTAGCTCTGGAGGAGATCGTAGGCCGTTGGATCGTCGTCGCCGGCGGAGCTTGCCGGCAGTGAGAAGATGAGGATGAGAGACGTGATTGTTGTTAGGGTTTTGAAGGTTTGGGCGTAACTGAGGAAAGCCATTTCTTCTCTCTTTTCGGTTTCTCTTTCTTTCCTCTCTGTCCTTCTTGCTTCCTCTCTCTCTCTCTCTCTCTCTATCGCGGATAGAGGAATGGTCGTTGAAACTTTTAATTTATCCACGTCACTCTGACAAAAGAAAGGATCTAAATCCAACTACGTACAATTACCATTCAAACACGGATATTCTATGCATATAAAAATGGTTTTTGTTTATTTTATGGATAATACTTAACCCGTGTGGATCTGCAACATATTCATTCTTATCGTGGATCAATTATGAATTGGTATATAATTTTTAATTATCAAATCAAATATGATAATTGAATATTCTCAGTGATTTGATAATTAAAATATATCATGTTTATTTAGTATTGATTCACATTAATAATGAATATGTTGTAGATCCTTACTAAGTTACTAGTGAGACCTAAGTATTATCACATTATCAAAATTATATTTTCATAAAAGTGAAATCATTAATTGGAACAGTTTGTTGTCTCTCTAAAATTTTATATTATTATTTTTTAATAACCAAAAACATATTTTGAAATGGAATTGAAATCATAATTTTGAACAAAAATATTTACAAAGTGAAACTGTTTTGTTCTCTAATATTGTGGTCAAGCAAGGTTTTATATTTCAAGTACATTTATAGCCATGTCGAACAACTGTCTATGCCCTTGCTTCCTATATTTCAACAATTAATTATAAATAAATTCAATTTTTATTTAATAAATGTCACTTACTATATAATACAATTTTAAGTAACACAAACTTCGCATGTTATTAAGCTCTTAAAATTTTTAAAAGTATAAAATAAAATTTTAATTTGGAATTACAATTAAAATTTTAGCTTTTATATTTGAGTTTTTACCACTAATTGTTGAAAGCAATAGATTGAATTTTGTGATTTGAGGGTTTTTTTTTTTTTTTTTTTTTTTTTTTTAAATGGTTGCGTAAAGAAAAGAAAAGTGTGCATGTTTGTTTTGAAAATCAACAACCAAGAGAATTCAATGTTTAAATTTATGAATTGCATTTTATTCATTTATTTGATATATTTTTTCATGAATTGTACAGAGTATTTATAAACTTGATTCTAGACATAATCCATAGAATCAAGCAACACAATCCCTATAATATCTTTTATGGTCAAATATACAATCTTTGATATACCTAATTCAAACATTTGACATTTTAGACATCTTTAAATTCCTTAATTCAACACTCCCCCTCAAGTTGGTTCATAGATGTCCCATATGCCCACTTATCTAAAAACTTTAAGAACACTCGATTTGAGACTGCTTTGGTGAGGATGTCAACCAACTGATCCTCTAATCGAATCTTAGGTAATTCCACAAGCTTTCTATCCAACTTTTCCTTAATGAAAAATCTGTCTACCTCAACGTGCTTTGTACAATCATGTTGAACTGGATTATGCGCGATGTCACATGCTACTTTATTATCACAAAATAGTCGGATAGGTTGTTTAGATAGATAACCCAAATCCCGTAAGAGATTTCTTAGCCATAATGTCTCACAAAGTGCATTTGCCAAACCTCTGAATTCAGTTTCTGCACTTGAGCGAGTTACAACATTTTGTTTCTTGCTTCTCTATGTCACAAGATTACCTCTTACAAAAGTAGAGTAACCAAAGGTAGATCGCCTATCATCTATGGATCCAGCCCAGTCAGTATCAGTATATGCATTTATGCTTTGATAATCAGTATTTTTAGTAAACGAAATTCCTTTTCTAGGAGCAGATTTGAGATACCTCAAGATGAGTATAACTGCATTAATATGTTGCTTTTCAGGATCATGCATGAACTGGCTAACAATACTCAATGAATACGCCAGATCCAGTCTTGTGTGTGCTAAGTACATCAAACTCCCTACAAGTCTTTGGTATCTTCCTTTATTGGCAGGTACTTGGTTGCACTCAACACATAATTTCAGCCCTTCTTCCATTGGTGTATCGGCTAGTTGACATGTTGTCATACCTGTCTCTTGTAATAAATCTAAAGCATATTTTTTTTTTTAAGATAAAAAGATTCATTTATTAGATTAAGATACTTCAATCCCAAGAAAATATTTCAAAGGACCTAAATCTTTCATTTCAAATTCTTTAGACAAGTAAGTTTTGAGAGCCTTCATTTCTTTAGGGTCATTCCCTGTAACCACTACGTCATCCACATATACACTGAGTGCAGTGATCTTACCATGTTGTTTCTTCAAGAATAAAGTGTGGTCTGAATTGCTCTGATGGTAGCCAAAGGCTATCATAGACTTTGTGAACCTACTAAACCATGCTCTCAGAGATTGTTTCAACCAATATAACGATTTCTTTAACCTGCACACCTTCTGACTATGTTGTTCGTGTATCATGCATCCTGGTGGGAGATCCATGTAAACTTCTTCAGATAATTCACCATGTAGAAAAGCATTTTTCACATCGAATTGTTGTAATGGTTAACCTAAGTTGGCAGCTAAAGATAGCAGGACACGAATTGTATTGATTTTGGATACAAGTGCAAATGTTTCTGTGTAATCAATACCATAGGTTTGAGTGTATCCCTTTACTACCAGTCTTGCCTTAAATCGTTCTATTTTGCCGTCAGCCTTATACTTCACAGTGTAAATCCACCGACATCCAACTGGTTTCTTCCCTGGTGGAGGATCAACTAGTTCCCATGTGTCATTTTGTTTCAAAGATTTTATCTCCTCATTCATAGCTGCTTTCCATCTGGGGTCAGCTAATGTTTCCTGCACACTCTTAGGAATAGATACAGCAGATAATTGATTCACAAATGACATGTTTAGTTCTTACAAACCATGGTTAGACACATAATAACTCATAGAGTATTTTACTTTACTAGAAAGTTCAGATTCATATGTAGGTTTAGGAATACCTCTGGTGTAACGCTATGGCAATTGTCTTTTGTGTAGCTTAGGAACATCTTCAGTAAGCGATTGGTGTGATATGTCGACCGGAGGTGGAGCCATATTTTCCAAGAACTCGGTTTCAGACTGTAATACCCCTAATTTTAAAAGGATAATCATGGCATTTATTTAATTGTTTAATATAGTCCTGATATTTATTTAATTGTTTAATCTTTTATTTAATTGTTTAATTGCGTGTTATTCTATTAATTGGTTATTTTAATTGTGTGTTTCTTCCGTGGTTATTTAAATTTGATTTTTGTTTTAATTAATTGATTAAATTGTTTTGTTTTCTGTTATTAAATTATTTTAAATTGAATTGTTAATGATATTATGTTTTTGTGCATTCACTGTTTTATTTTATTTTTGTAATGATAGTTTTAGGTTTTTACTTACGTATGTTTATAATGCCGACACTCTAGACGTAGGTTTAGTATATGGGCCGACTAAGGTTTCTATTAGGGCTTTAGCTCTAATTAAACAAGGATTAGGGTTTAGGGTTGTACGTCTATAAATATGGTGATTTCGTTGGTTAAGGGTTTTGGAGAAAAACAAGTCTTAGTTCTGTAAAGAGAGAAGTTGAAAGAACAGAGCATCGTAACGGTCTGTCAAGGAGAATAACAGAGAGGATCAAGGGAGGTTTTTGGTGGATTAGATCAGAACCAGAGGAGGCTAGAAGGTAGTCAGTGGTTGCCGGAAAGCTTAGAACAACGGCGACAAGGTTCTGTTTATAAAACTGTACAGGCAAGTTCTTATCTTCCTCCTTCCCTTTGACTTGTGTTCTGTGCACCTAGACAGTCTCTAGGAGATTAATTGGCCTTAAACTGAACCATGCATGTGTTTATATATGTTTTGCTTTATCGTTTTATCTGTGAAAAATTTATTTACAAAATAATTATAGCACGTATGTTTTCTTGACTCTGTTTGGCATAACGTCCCACTGTTCTAATTTTTATTTTGAACCTTACTGAAATCAACCAAGGTCTGAATGGATACTAGATGTAATTTAAGACCTTCAAATTTAAATTGGAGGAAAAACAGAGGGGTTGGGATAGAACTGATGTTGCAAACTAGTTTCAGTGCCGTTCTTCAACAATACTAGTTTAAATGGCTTGATTAAACTCTGTAATTGCTTTCAAAATTATTGTAAACAATCTTGGGGAATGCTTCTAGACTAAATTAAGACTCCTAAGATTAGTTTTTGAAACCAACAGAGTAATAGGATTTGATCAGAGAAGGAGTAGACGGACTGAAACGAAGAACAGACGGACGGTAGGCTCTCAAAGAGGAGAGAGCCGGCTCCACAATGGAAGGAGCTGGCTCCCCCATCTAAAAGAGCCGGCTCTATGATGTTTAGAGCCGGCTCCAGGTTCTAAAAAGAGCATGCTCCAAATTTTGGAGCAGGCTCCCTTTTTTTTTTGATTTATTTTAAGTTTTTTTTTTTATTTTCTACGTACTATGTTCACTGTTGGAGCATGGAGATTATTTGAGTGAATTTGGAACATTACAGAGGGATTAAGGAATGAATTTTGAGTGTTATTAAGACCCTAAATTGATTAAAGTTTAATTCTAAATTATCGGAACAAACAGTGTAAAAATTAAGGCACTTCTTATGTTGTTAACAAATGGAAGTTGAATTAATGGTTGAATTAAATTTCAGCAATTTGATGGAATATAAATTTATAAAACTTGTTATAGAATGCATTCAAGTGCATGATAAGGTCATTTAATTATTAATTTTGATCTATGCATGCTTAGGAGGCTAGTTGCTGAATTATTAAATAGTTTCCTGCAACTATATGGTAATGCTTGGATTTAAATTGCCGAAATATTAAACAATCTTCTGAAATTGTTTTAGCAATTTATTAGATAATAATAGGATTATTTAACCTATTCACATGCATGATGGAGTCCCTGACATATTAAATTTGGTTTATGCATGCTCTGGACGTTAGTTGTTGATTTGTTAAATCGTCTTATGCAACTATATGGTTAAATGCTTGGATTTAAATTGCTGAAGCTTTAAATATTTTTCTGCATTTATTTGGATGGTGGTTTGTGAGTCTGTAAATTATTGAACTGTTATATATGTTGTAATTTACATGGATATGGAGGATTGTATGTATCGGTATGGGACGGTGACATACTAGGGACGGTTT